TGTGTGTGTGTGTGTGTGTGTGTGTGTGTGTGTGTGTGTGTGTGTGTGTTTTACATGCATGGGGAGACTACAGGATAAAATTGAATGGATACCTCTATTGTGCTCTCTACCTTACTGAGACAAAGTCTTTTATTGAACAGGAAGTTTATTGTTTTGGACACACTGGCTGGGCAGTGAGCCCTCTGGATCTGTCTGTCTCTGCTCCCTAACGCAGTTGTTATATATGCACAGTCATGCTCAGCCTTTTACATGGGTGTTGGAGATTTGAACTCAGGTCCTCGTGCTTTCAGAGCAAGTGAAACCAGCTGAGCCAACTTCCCAGCCCCATACATTGCATTTTCGATTTGTATTTTTATGACACTTAGGAACTGTACCATCTCTTTACATGTTTGTTTCTATTTTCATTTCAATGAAATGACTCTTCGTGTCATTTCTTTTTTTTAGCTATTAGGTTTTCCGGTTGAAAATACTTTCTATGAATTCTTTCATTATTGTTATTTAATTCTTCCTTCCATTATCAGGCCTATATCCTTGTATTCCTTAAATATTGTGGAGTCTATATTGTATTTTTTTTCATCTCTCCAAGCTGGGGATAGAGGTACAATTCTATAATCACTTGGGAGGCTGAGGCAGGCAAGTTCAAGACTAGCTTGAGCTATATAGTGCAATCCAGGATAACCTGGACTAGAGTGTAAGACTCTATCTCAAAGGAAACAGGGCTTTTTATGCTAGTACTCTTAAAAATCACATCAATATTAGCCATTACATATTTGTTTCCACAAAAGTTGTTCTGATGGTTTAGTCCCTTAATTTCTCAGAGGAATGAGACTCTATCTCATTTCTTAGACTAGTTTTGTTGAACACCATCTATGGTGATATTTTATTTGTGCTGAAATGTGATTTTATTTGTATGTCAATAAATAAAGTTGCCTGGAGATCAGAGGTCATAGCCATTAAGAAGAAGTCTGGCAGTGGTAGCACACACCTTTAATCTGGTCACATGGCAGGCAGAGTCTCTATGTGTTCAAGGACATGGCCAGCATGGTGACACACACATTTAATCTCAGTACCAACCATAGAGATCTGGAGGTCTGTATAGACAGGCAGTGACGATGAAGTCATGTGGTTGGGTTTAAGCCAATGAGAAGGCAGAACAGAAAGGCAATTAAAAAGACAGGACAGAGGAAGGTGTCTCTCTCAGGGAAAGGACAGCATCCAGTGGTAAGATAAGGTGATCTTAGCTCTTGGCTACTGCTCTGATCTCTGGGCTTTGAAATCTTTATTTGGCTGTGTTTCTTATTTAATAAGACAATTTAAAATTACATCTACAGCCATCTAAAGCTTTTTCACTTCAATTCCAGCTAATTATTGACCATAGTCAAAATATACATATGAAAAATTTGAATCATAGAGTCTATTGGCAATATTCCTGATTTACATGCTTTCTAGCCATGAAATCATGACAGGTACAGTAAACGCTTCCAAAAATCAGTTTTCTATACACAGCCTAAGAATTCTAGAACAAAAAAATTATGAAGCAGTCACACTGGCAAAAAAAATGAGAGCAAATTGTTAGCTAAAGTCTCAGAATTCTAATACAGTCAGGGTTATACAAAGAAAACAAAATGGACAGATTGAGATAAGCAAGCTCAGGGATGATAGATATTTGACTACAGGATGTGTGAAGCAATATAGACACAGTAGGATGCATGGGTAAAAATATCAATGGACAGAAGAGGAATCAGAGGTTCTGAACTGTTAGTATAGGAACTAAAATAAAAGAGTTTCAAGAAGCGCTAATGCCAGGATGTCACCTTATACATCTGCAATTCTGTATACAGTAGAGACTGTAAGCCAAGAAATCATAAGCATTGTTAAAATAAAAATGGTTTCTATGCACATATACACTAGATTTGTAAGTTGGGAGGCACAGATCCAGTAGAAATCAAGTATGTGTTATGTCAAGGTGACAGAGACTGAATGAATTAACAATGAGGTAAGGTGCTAAAAATCAACCTGAACAACTTTTGGTAGGCTTTGTCAGTTGCCCAAGTTGTTTTTCTTTGAGACAGAATCTCACACTGGAGCCAAAACTGGCCTTGGACTGACAGCAGTCCACCCACCTCTGCTCCAGTCTGCTGGGATCACAGGTGGAAGTCACTGTGTTTTGCTTCTCTGATTGTTTTCAGTGAGTTTAGATTGGTACTGCTTGTCTTTCCATATGTGTGATTGCTAGAGGGAGTTATTCATAAGCAATAGATGTCCTGAGACAGTCATCAAGTGAACAGCAATTCTAGATTAGACTGTCAATCTTGGGAATCTTTAGCTACTTTCTATCAAAATAAAAATCACACTTTGAAGTTAATGATTGAGGAGCTTGTATCTTTCAAGTAAAACTGAAACCTGTCATGTGGATCTCACAATCTCACAGAGAAACTCTGTTCTCTTTCTTGACTAAACTGCAACCATCATAATTTTCATTTCCAGGGAAGAAATCCCACTGTGAAAGTGAACTGTGTGCATTCACTGGAAGTCACCACAGTGCTTTCTTGTTACTGAATTTCTTCATGTGTCATATTTTGTGCTCCTGACCTTTGAACACGGCTGTTGACAGAGGTGTTTTGCCAAGCTTTACAAAGCTTTCAGGCTACCAAGACTGGAGGCCTGAGAATGGAGAACATCACCAGGATTGATGGCAAAATCTAGGTTCTAGAGTTGTAACGACTTGTAAATAGATTACACCTGACAATATTCAGAACCATGGTGCACTATTGCTCATTTTTATCAGCCAGTGAACAAACTGAAAGGTTACAGCTAACTACAGACCACTAAGCTTAACCCAAACAAACAGTTGATAAACAGTGTATTGTAGTCACGTCTACTTCTCCCCTCCAGATCAGCAGAGAACTCCTGTTCTTTATGTACATAGTCACCCAGTCTAAAGAAGCTGGACCACTTACTCTAATTACAAAAGAATAAATTTTATGGCTCCATACCTGATTGCCATAAACATACAGAAAGTGGCTTCGGGGATGGAACACCATTCCAACTGGATTAGAGAATGAGATGGGAAATTGGAAATTTGGAAATTTTGGTTGAGAATTTGGTATCTCATTCTTGAGCACTGACACAGAGACATAGGTTCTTTTGGAATTCTAGATAAAACACAAGGAAGTCATAAGATTTATTCCATCATTCTTTGTCCATGTTATAATTTCTAGACTTTCTCATGATTCAGTTTAATTTAAGACCAGGGCATACCCATTATCACATCAAAGAAATGGAAAGATTAGCAATCACTGGTAACTCTACTCATTACTCCCACCTGTCCATTTTAAAGATGCTGAGATGTAGTATAGGAAACTAAGGAATTTGTTCAAAGTTGTATAATAAATGGCATTGAGAGGTTTGTAAGTCATTACTAAAATAATCAGATAGACTCCAGTGTCCATGCTCATGCCTTTCATGATACATGTGGGTACCTGGCAAAAATCCCAATTGTATTAAGTCATAGTCTTGAAAAGAACAAGACTATGACACCCTATAAATGCCATCTTGGTATAAAGATAAAGTTAAGAAGAAGACTTTCACTGATACACAGTGGGGAAAGCTGTCTTAGCTCTTTTTTTGTTTGACTAAAAGCAGTAAATTCTTGAAAATGAAACTGCCAACCATTTTCACAGCAGATATACTCAGAAAAAAAGAGAGCAAATAAGATCTATCCTAAATCCTTTTTCTAGGGGAGTCTTATGGCTCTGAGAGAGATACCTACATGGACAAACACTATCACCTGCTCCTGTCCTGTTGTTCCCCTGAAACCTTTCTACCATAAAAGTAACTTTTTTACCCAGGAAAACACCAGTTTAATCTAAAGCATGCTCAGCATAGGCAGGCATGGTGGCACATGCCTTTAATCCTAACACTCAGACTCAGAAGCAGGCATATTACTGTGAGTTCAAGGATATCCAGTGCTACATAGGGAAATCCTGCCTTAAAAACGATGCAGATGAAAAAGCAGCTTATTTTAATGTTACATGGGCCTTTGAGGGGTGATGTATATATATATCTCACACTTAGAAGTGAGTGCTAAACAGCCACTTAGAGAACCCCTAAAATTTCTAACAACTCTGATAATAATTCTAATTAATAGCCACAGTTAAGGACTTATACAAGAGAAAATATGTATCTGTGACATGGGTTCCCTGTTTTGTTGTTGTTGTTCATCTAAACTCACCCTTTCAAAACTTTAGATTTATATGGAAAATATTCACCTTTTATTCCCCTGGAGAATGAGTAAATAATAATCAGGAAGCAATTTTTAAAAAACTTCAGTGCCAAACTATTCTATAGATCTTAAGTAATTTTATCAGTTTCTATTCCTGAGATCATGACAAATTGGAAATGATGTCTGCTAAGACAATTTGCAGTGCTTGGTGATAGAACAAACAGCTCTGAGCTATAAGACTTACCCGATTATGGAAGAGATAAATTCCAGTTTTAGTTTCTTGGTCAATAAGAAATGTTACCACATGTGGAAGAAATCTTGCACTTGTAATAATAGAAGGTAAGCAAGGCAACCAGTGAAGAAATGGTTCTTTACTATAAAAACAAGAACTGGACTATAAACAGAGAAAAGAAGTGTTAATATTGTTAACACAACTAGTTATTGTAGAAAATAAGCTAATGAATTGTTATGTTGTTCTGACAGGCCACATATAAATCAGTCACTCTCTCTCTCTCACACACATGCACATGTGCGCACATGTACACACACATACACACACACACACATACACACACACACACACACACACACACACACACACACACACACACACGTATACAGAAACTTTTTAAGACATGTTCTTACTATGTGAAGCTAGGCTGGCCAAAAACTCTGTAATCCAAGTTCATATTGAAATCATGATTCTCCTGCCTCCATCTACTGATTGCTAGAATTACAGCTGTGTGCCATCACACCTGGCTCACAAATCATAGTTTTAATTCTTTAATAACTATTGCTTTCTTCAGGGTGGATTCAATTTCAGAAAACACTTTAAAGAAACTTTCTTCTCTGGTATGGATCATTTGGCTAGACTCACTGGGTTTTAACAAATGTAGGTATCTGCTATTAAGTCTACCAGGAGACACCACTGGGGGTGGTTAAGTTTTCCTGTGTGTTTAAGTACCATAGTTTAGATATATAGTTTAAATTATGCTTAACAAAAATGTCATGCCTTTGAAAGTGTTCTATGTCATACCTCACTTAGGGTCCTTTTTCTGTCGAAAGTGATAGTAACATAATCAACTGTAAAGTACAAAGGTGAAGAAATTATGAATGACATCTACACATACAGCCTTAGGAAGAGTTAGTGTTAGTAAACCTGCCCACATAAAACCAATGCCAGTTGTGCACCATCTATTAATGGATCATTTAGGCAGGAGTGTCACTCCCATTCATTTTTAGAAAAGCTGTCAGTATGTAGTCCAGAGTAGCCTCAAGCCTGTAGTGTTCCTATTTATGCCTCCAGAGTGTTAAAGGAAGAGTAAGTATAAACCACTACCGAGCCTGGCTTTATCATTTTTAGGCCACTAATTCAATATGATAGTTATCTTCACATTTTATTAAATGTTGAGTTTAATGCATTTTATTTAATCTATATATGTAATCTATAGTGATAAAAATCTGCTAACATGTCATAAAATTTACCTTCAAAACTTTCTTTGTTTGCAAAACATTTTTCATTATACCACAGTTTTCCCTTGATATAGTCAACCTATACAAATACATAAATGAAAACAGCAATTGGGTCATATCTGAAGTTAAGATTTTAAACAGAAAGAAATTTATGATGGGGGAATGTCTTTCTTTTATGCTGTGATAATATGTTGCTATGATTGGTTGATAAATAAAGCCATTTGGCCTATGGCATGGCAGCTTAGAATCGGGCAGAAAATCCAAACAGGTAGAGAGGAAGGAGAAAGACAGAGCAGAGGAGACCCTGCCAGCCACTGCCATGAGAAGCAAGATGTAAAAGTACTGGTAAACCACAAGCCACATGGCAAAATAAAGATTTATAAAAATGGGTTAATTTAAGATATAAGAACTAGGTAACAAGAAGCCTGCCATGGCCATAGTTTAAAAATAATATTAGCTTGTGTGTGTTTATTTGGGTCTGAGTGATTGCGGGACTGGCGAGTGAGAGACATTTGTCCTGGCCGCAGGCCAGGTGAGACACAGGAAAACTTTCAGTTACAAATTTACTTTAAAAAATCCAAGGTTTTGATCATTTGTGGGTGTGAGGCAAATTAAGATAGAAAAACTGTGCACATGTAAGAGGTTGCAGAATGGGGACAAGAAACTGGAATGCACATTGTCAACAGTCACTAAAGGAAATACAAAGGCATGAAGATGTTCTTGGTTATGAATTATCTTTCTCACCAGAAGCTCCTTGAACCTTTCACCTCAGTTAGAATGGGGCATACACGTATTTTTTTATTCCACATTAGCTGCAACATGGCATAAGGAAACTGAACAGAAGCCTGACAATGGCAAGTAGCAGCAATAGAAAGACACTGCAAACTGATCATAAGGGAGAAGCAGTGAACAAAGTAACATTATTTTTGTTGGATATTAACTGTAATAAGATGAGAAGGTTTTCTAGGGGAAGATTTTGACTTTTCAGCTGCTATTGAGACAAGGAAATCCTTATACTTTTATAGGTGGGCCAGTGATAAAATCGATATAACTTGTTCATGGAAACATTTAAAATGTCCTAAAACTGATCCTGGTAGTAGTTGATACAAAATACCATAGGGCTGAACATGAAAAAGATAAAGATTATACCATGTGAATTAGACCTTCATAAAATGCTAAACAAACAAAAAAATTTTTTCAGAATGAATGGCCCATGACTTTTTTATATTATTCTATGTCATCACTCAAATTAAATTGTTAAAATAAAACTTTTGAGATCTCATAAAAACCTCCACATTTCAGGATAGCATAATCATTATTATTAATCTGGGAAATTTTAATATAGAACCTTTTTGGGCATTGAACTATGCCTCTTCCTTTTCTTCGGATTTTATTCCTGCATTTTTTTCTATATGAATCCAAACTGAAATAGCCAAGAGATTGACCTTAGGGATAATTTAATTTATACAAGGCTGACCTCATGCCAAGGATGAGTCCAGAATACTCTCCTGACCCAGAGTCACAGGTTAGGAATGAACACATGACTTGGATCACATGAGCAATGAAAACCACTCTTAGAGATGAAGGAAAGACTTTATTCCTTTTGGGATAGCCAAAGGTGGCTACAAGCCTGGCAGCTATTCTTACTAATGGCTGGAGAACAGTTACTTAGAATAAAGCTAGTATAAAGAACAGCACAGCCAAATTTGAGGACATAACCCCATGGACATCTGATATTCAAGAGAATCCAGCTAGTCAGGAAGCCAGCCACCCTTTAAATTCCCTATGATTTCAAAGAGCCAACAGCTTCCTCTCTTTTGCTGAAATCAGTTTAGTTTGGTTTCTGTCATTTGTCCTCAAGAAGATACTTGGAGGCAAGCCTTTGGGAGGTGATTAGGTAGAAGAGTTTGATGCCTTTCCTGATTTGAAGGAGACTGGATAGGTAAGACCAGTGCCCTTATTACAGAGAATCCAGAGATCTATACCCACCCCTTCTGACAAGTAAGGTCACAGGGAAGGGACAGCTGTCTGTGAACCAGGAAGCAGTCCCTCACCAGACACTTAACCAGCCAGTCACTGCTCATCACTATTTCCTCAACTTTTTGCCTTTTACTTAATTGAAGCTCCCATTCTCGTTCATTTCTTTTGTTCTGGACTTTGGTTCTTTTGTATCAATGGTGTGTAGATACTGATTTCACTGTCTTTGAGTGTCAGCGATTCTTTTAATGGGATCTAACAGTGAGGCATGTTTTGCTTTTGAGCCCCCTATTTAGAACAACATTAGGTGAGGTTTCCTAAGGGAACAGAATCAATATAACATACACAACAGGCGATTTATTAGATTGTGTTATACAGTCAGAGACTAATTTGTCCCACATGGCTCCACACATTAGAGAGCTAGAATATCAGTTGTTTCTCAGACTAAGAAGCTGGAAGCTTCAGAACAAAAAGAACCAATGACACAACCCAAGTCCAAGGAGAAGACCTAGAAGCAACCTGGGGAGTTGTTGATGCAAGTCCAAGTTCACAGGCTAGAGAATCTGCTATCTGATGTTCTCCTATAGTCCATAGTGGCAAAGAAAAAAGTGCACAAATACCTGCTCCCCACCAAGAAGAGTTCAGCCTGTCTTCATGTGAGTTTGTCTTTCTACCTTTTAGTTCAACTCAGGCTACTGTGTGGCTCGACATGCCTTCAGGGTGGATCTCCCCCTCTTAGGATCTGCACTGAAGCACTCTGGAAACACCCTCACAGATATATTGAGAAGTGTGTTTTACCAAATGCTTTAGGAATCTATCAGATCAGTCAAGTTGACAACCAAAATCAACTATCACAGGAAACTTGTGTACCATTTCTCTCTAATCTTCCAGTTTAGAAGCATTAGTAGAATTTGAGCATATGTGCTTTTTTCCCCTCAGGCTTGCCATTCATTCAATATTTTTAAAGACAGAATCTCATGTCACCTAGGTTGGCCTTTAACTTGCTATGAGGATGACCTTGTATGTCTCATCCTCTTCTCTCCACCTCCTGAGTGCTGGGATCACAGCTGTGCATAATCATGCCTAATATATAAAGTGCTGGGGATGGAACCCAGGGCTTAGTGTATATCAGCCACATATTCTACCAACTGATCTAGATCCTTAGACTCAGATCATTTTCAATTTCAGTGCAATTATCTTCTATTATTTTGTTGCTCTTTGTTTTCTTTTCTCTCTGAAAATTCTATTTCTCCTCCAAAGTAAACTGCTAGTCTACTTGTTCAACAATGTTTACTGAGTGCTTACTTTAGCATGACTCTGTTACCAAGTCAATGGGTTCCTTCATCATCACAAGAATCAGACAGAGATGCAATTCACAGGAAGAAGGAAAAAGACACTTTGTCTTCTACTTGAATATAAAAGAAACAACATGCAGGGAGAAAAAACAACTTTCCAATCATATTCAAAACAGAGACAGGCAAGCAAAGGTTTTATGATGTTCTCAGGTGTGAGGGACCTGGTCTCACGTCTGAGAACTGAATCACTCACCTTGTAGAACTTCTGGAACACTTCTTGAAAGATCATCACTGCTCTGAAATTTCTAGCAACTTCTCCCAAACATATGGAGATGTTTCTTCATCTTCACCTTCTGTGGCACTAGTTTGCATCTACTCAATGACTATGCTATCCATCATTTTATTTTACTTTTAATTACAATTGTGGAATTTAGTTCTAGAAAGTCTTTTTGTGCTACAAAAACTCCTAATGGATGTTGGTTGCCTTTCTTTTCTGTTCCTCCTTTCTTTTTCTCTCTTCTGCTACTTCTTTTTTGTTTGTTTTGAGACAGTGTTTCAGTTATGGCTGTCCTAGAACTCATCATGTAGATGAGATCAGGCTGGTTTTGAACTCACAGAGATCTTGCCTGCCTCTTCTTCCCAAGTACTGAGATTAAAGACATGTGCCACCATGTCATGCTTCCTTTTTTTAATATCTCAGAGTCTATAATAATGAGCATAGTTGTAGCTGGAGTTTTCCTGGTCCTGCCTGGCCCACGGTGAGGACAAATCTCTCTCACCCACCAGTCCCACAGCCAAGTAAACACACAGAGACTTATATTACTTATAAACTGTATGGCTGTGGCAGGCTTCTTGCTATCTGTTCTTATATCTTAAATTAACCCATTTCTATAAATTTATACCTTGCCACATGGCTTGTGGTTTACCAGTATTTAATGTGTTGGTATTCATGGTGGTGGTTGGCAGTGTCTCCTGACTCTTCTCTGCTTGTACTGCCTATACTTCCTACCTGGCTACTGGCCAATCAGCATTTTATTTATACAGAGCTATAGCCACAGCACTTCGCCTTTTCTTTTTTTTTTTTTTCAAAAAGGGAGGTTTTAACTTTCACGTAGTAAAATTACATATAACAAGACAATTACCAAGTAAGAATTACAGTTATACTATCTAGTCTATTTATAATATCTAGTCTATTTGTATTTGGCAAAATTAAAGAAGATATCCTATCTATCTTATGTTTGTGAGTCTAAGGTTTCATCTCTAACTTACCTTTTATCATAGCTAATGAAAAATTATAACTATCTAGTCTTCAACTACATCAAAGACCTCAGAAGGATATAATTACCTGAGAAATGGTAGAAGGATGCAAGAAACTTTCAAGAGTCTTGCTAAAGAGGACAGAGACAGCTGGCAGCCTGGACAGTCATCCAAAGTTTTTTTGTAAAGTTAGGGCATCTGTCTTCAGCCCACAGGCCTAGAGTATCTCAGTCACTTTTCTCTGTGTCCCGTAGAATGTCTGGCAGTTTCCTCTGCAAAGCAGGAATCTGAAGGACAATTTTGCCAAGCAAAGTTCAGTGGTCACCTGAATGTCCTGCATGTCCAGTTGATCAAGCAGTCCAGGCAAGAACACTTTCTTGCCCAAATGGCCATTTTTGCCAAAAGAAGATAAACACTGTATAGAGTGTCTTCACTGCCAATCCTCCTCTCTGTGGTAAGTCCGGTGCTGCCAGGAGCAGACATGTCTCACTGTTTAGAAAGTCTAAATTTTTAAAACATTTTAAATGCCATATTCTGTAGGTCTTTGAAGTATTTGAAGATTACCTATCTATCTGAAATATATCTATGTATTCCTAGAAAACTTAACTAATATGGCTACAAGTATGATTATCACAGATGACTAATTATTAATCGATTTCTTAATTGTCCATTACAATTTTAAATGAGCTGTACAAACATAATACCTTAAACAAGAGTAGAAATATACACATAGTATAACAAAAACTTTAAATTTATATCAATACTCTAAAATCTATACCAATGTAAAACATTTCAAACAAGTTGTTGCTCTTTAAAAGTAGGTTCTTAAATCTACCCTTTCATTCTATCATATCTATATCATATCCCCTTTTTTTCTTTAAAAAGAGATTGCATTTAGAATCAACCTGTTTTAAATAAAAATACTGGTTTTTCCCTGTTCCATACCAGAGGGCTCTTCTGATTTGGGACACAAGAATATCTTAACCTTTTCTTTTAGCAATATGCCTGGGTTTAGAGAAGGAGTGAGCCAATTCCATCTCCAAAGCCAGCTTAGTATATTTGGGAATTTGGGCGTAGCTTCTCTTACTACTTCCTGTTGGAGGGGGGCAATGTATCTTATGGGGACACAGAGAAAATTTTAGGCTTATGGTGTAGTCCATGAGACTGTATTGTTTGAGCCAGTTGCCTTGAAACCATTCTGGATGTTGGATCTTCTGGGCCATGGTGTCATCAGAGACCTTTCAGGGGGTCTTTACTGATCAAAACTGATGTATCTTAATCTGGAACAAATCCATATCCTCTGGCTTTCTGTGGAAACAAAAGCAGAGTCTCCTTTCCAAAGTAACATATCCTTACATCCAAATTTTGAAGTCAAGGTACCTTTAATATATATATATTATATTATATGCATATATATATATATATATATATATATATATATATATATATATGCTTAACTCAACAGCTTTTCAATCAAATGTCTTTCTGCAGTTAAGAATCCCAAAGACAACACAATCCAGATTCTCTGTGTGATATCCATCTTTACATGGCTTATTTTCTATACTACCTTTACTGTCTCTTTACTTTATTTTTAAAAACTATTTGTAAATGTAACCAACCATCTTATTAAATAAGAAACACAGAACCAATGTAAAAGAGAAAGCCAAGAGGTTAGAGCTCAGAGCTAAAACCTTACCCTTCCTCTTGCGGTGCTCCTACCTCTCCAAAAGAGACCTACTTCCTGTGTGTATGTCTTTACATAGTCTTTCTGTTCTGCCTTCTCATTGGTTGTAAACCCAAACACGTGACTGCCTCATCACTGCCTGTATGTACAGCCTTACAGGTCTTAAAGGCATGTGTCTCTAATGCTGGCTGTATCCCTGAACACACAGAGATCTACCTAGCTCTTCTACCAAGTGCTGGGTTGCTATGGCTCTAATAGCTCTGACCCCCAGGCAACTTTATTTATTAACATACAATTAAAATCACATTTCAGTACAAATAAAATACCACCATAACTATTTCTTTATATAACTGTATACATTACTTTTTTCTCTCTTCCCAGCCAATGTGCATTTTTACACACAATGTAAAGCATTTAAAGTCCTGTTCCATCTGAATCTGTCTTATTGTGAATCTATTGTTTTAAACTGCAGCACTTTTAAGACCAAAACAGTTGCTGTGGCTGGTGGCTCTCGGCTCTGCCACCTCAGCTTCCCAACATGGCAGTGACACATTTACTGCCAGCTCTGGCAGCCATCAACTCTCAGAAACAGTTTGTCTATGCTTTTATCAAAGCAGCATATAGCCCAGAAACCTCTTTTTTTTTTTTAAACTAGCAAAAACTATATCCAACACACAGCATAGTGGGCATCTTGGAGACAGCTCTATGTAACATAGCATAGGTCAACCCCGCACGCATGCCTGAACCCACCATAGAGTAGTAGCTCAAACCCGCAGGGTACCGCTAACTTGAGAGAGACACCTAGGAAGCTGTTTTTAGCTCCATTTTAGGATCTTTTTTTTCTCAGGTTTTAGGTGGAAACTCTTGCCAATCCTTTGGGCACCATTTGTAGCTGGAGTTTTCCTGGTCCTGCCTGGCCCACGGTGAGGACAAATCTCTCTCACTCACCAGTCCCACAGCCAAGTAAACACACAGAGACTTATATTACTTATAAACTGTATGGCTGTGGCAGGCTTCTTGCTATCTGTTCTTATATTTTAAATTAACACATTTCTATAAATTTATACCTTGCCACATGGCTCGTGGCTTATCTTATATGTTGGTACTCATGGTGGTGGCTGGCAGTGTCTCCTGACTCAGCCTTCCTATTCCCAGAATTCTCTTCTCTGCTTGTACCACCTATACTTCCTGCCTGACTATTGGCCAATCAGCATTTTATTTATACACAGCAATATCCACAGCACATGGTAGGAACTCAGTGTTCCTTTGTTCTTTTAACATCTCAGAGTCAATAACAATGAGCATGGTAGTAACTCAGTGTTCCTTTTTTCTTTAGTATCTCAGAGCCAATAACAATGAGCATGGTAGTACTCAGTGTTCATTTTTCTTTAAAATCTCAGAGTCAATAACAATGAGCATGGTAGTAACTCTGTGTTCTTTTTTCTTTTAATATCTCAGAGTCAATAACAATGAGCATAGTAGTTATTCTGTGTATGCTCATGATTTGTTAGCTAAATTTTGTTGCTCTACTTTACCACTACCATTCTCAAACATCCTTGATTTTAATGACTGTGTTCTGCTGGAACCCCAGATGAGCTCAGACATAGTTTTGAAGGGAGAACTCAAGAGTGCTTTTCAGAATACATCAAACTCTGGCTATGTCAGAATGTGAGAAGGCAATGCTCTCTACTTCTTTGAGTGGCTGTTTTCACACATTTTAATTTCACCATGGAAAGCCTTTCCCTGAAGGTGTCCTTCAGCCTGTCACATGAGGCTCCAAAAAAACTCAGCTCTCCCTTCTAGCAGTCTTCTCTCTGGTCTCTCAAAGCCACCTCCCCAACCCCATTAATAAGAAAAACCATTTGATAGTTTCTGGAGTTCTGAGGGTGAGCTCTCTCTGCAGGATCCTCTACTTGCCTTTCCTTTGCTGCCCTGTGTTGCCATGAGCCATGATCTCATTATTGTAGTTCATATTCTACTGTTTAAACTCAGAGTGACCTGAGTTTGGGAAAATAATTTCCACATTCTATTTTAGTAAAACCACAAGTCAATGTTTGTATACACTGAATTCATTGGTGTTGTTGGTAATTGAACCCAGAGCCTGAGCATGCAAGGCAAAGACTCTACCATTGAGCTATATGACTAGCACACTAACATTTTTGATTGGCAGTTAACTGAATCAGCATGCAAATTTGAGATAAGAGATAAACTATTTCCATTTGTTCTTTCCATAGTTTATTTGTTTTCTCTACTGATTTCCCGGTTCTCTGTTTCACTTTTCCTCCCACCAATACTTTGATATCACAGTTAGTTCTACTTGGTTCCTGAGAAGTAAGTTTGGTTTCTTTCTTGTAGCGACTGTGTACAACACAGGACAGAATAGAAGGGGACAACTTAAGGCCTGGGAATGAATATATATAATTTTCCTTGCACTTTCAAAACTGACATGCATGATTATGTGTTGAGAATGGCCTTATATGGCAGACTGATTTTGTAACAGAGAAGCAAACTAATAGAGGAAAGAGTGCCCCCAAAAGACAGAAATAGAGTTGTGGTCAGATCCCATGGCAGTTTTTGTCCAAAATGGCAGGGCTCCTTTTTCTGGGTAGAGTCAGGGCAGGTGGATTGAGAAGTAAATCTTTTGCCAGATTCAGGCCTCACCCTCTCCTTCTGGTCATGTTTGTGTAGAGCATGGCCTGAGCAATCTCCACAAGCCAAGAGAGAACCCATTAGAGGAAAGATGCCCGCTGAAATGACAAGGGCCTGATAGTTATGGAATTATGTTTTTAGTATAAACTGAAAATAAGTTTATGGTAGCAAGAAATATCTAGATTGTGAACTGTTGCTTTGCAAGTTACCAAGTGAGTATGTATCTTCTCAACCATATTAGGAAATCAAAAGTCTTACCCTTTCAAAACCACAAAAGTCTGCTCTTGAAAGCTGGAGGAAGAAGAGGAGGAAAAAAAGAAAAAAAAGAAAGTTAAAAATTTAGTTGCTTTTCAGAAGGTGTAAAAAACCTTTTTATTTAAGGCTGCACCACACACTCACACAAAAAATACCCTTTGTTTTCTTTTGTATTCCAGCAGGCATATGGCCAAACGTTAATGTAGCTTCTCATCCAGTCTCTTGATGGAACTTCATGGTATGTATATATTTTTCTTCTCTTTGTCCCACAGTTAGGTTACCTTTTCATTACTTCCTCTGTCTTTTTGCCTGTGGAAACTTTCTAATCCCTATAGCTAGGCCTGGATAAACAGTCTCAACCTCACTTTTACTTGCTTCTTGGTGGAATCATTTTCATTTGCTATCACAAATTTCCCAACGGGATTGATTCCCAGGTATATGAAAAATATTGGAGTCTGCTTTATTTTTGATTAACTTGTAATTTTACACATGCATAGGAACAGCATGACATTTCAATATATTTGTACAGTAATTATCTTATCAGGGTAGTTGTCATCTCCATCATCTTACACATGTATCATTTCTTTTGACATTTAATTTCTGTTCATTTTAATATAACATTTAGCTATATAAATTACCTTACAGCAGGTGACTGGCCCTGCCTCAACTGAATCTACCATGCTGGGCTGACTCCCCAGGGGAGACCTTGCCTTGGAGGAGGTGGGAATGGGAGGTAGATGTGGGGGGGGCAAAGGCTGGGGGTAGGAAGAGGGAAGACAGGGGAATCTGTGGCTGATATGTAAAATTAAATAAATTGTAAAATAAAAATATTTTTTAAAAAATTACCTTACAGCATTTTGGAAATATATTAGCCAATAAATAAATAGACAAGTAGATAGATGATGCCTTTTCCATTGCATATGTTTAAATTTTGCTATAAATGGTACAGCAATAAAACTAATGACAATTAAAACTTATAATTCAAATACTATGAAGCAAAGGAAAAGGTTGTGGTATCATGAATTACCAAACAATTACAAAGAAATTTTCATACCTGCATTTGTGAAGTGACTGGATAACGAAGATCACTACTTACAAAAAGACCCAAAGAGGTGAGGATGACTAAAAAATGATTTGTTAAAACCATATCTATTATTGTAAGCCCTTGGTGTTCTGAAGAAAGAAATAAAATCACACCATAGGTTAGAAACAGAGAGATCATTACAAAGACATTTCAGAAATACTGAATGAGTTTCAAAATAAATGAAATGATGAAGATAAAGACAGCCAGAAAAGTTACCATCTTTAAGTTGTGAATAGATGATATCTGTCAGGTCATACCATGTGGTTTCATTATATTCCCAAAATCCAGAAGAAGTTTTGCCTATGTAAACACCTACCATGAAAGAAAAATAAATTATTGTCAGGCAAGTTTGCAGACCTCAATTCTGTAAATTCAAACCTGTTCCATCTTCTAACCCAGGTTCTTCCGTGCTGAATTAGTCAAGGTTCTCTAGAACTGATAGAATGAATCTATCTATCTATCTATCTATCTATCTATCTATCTATCTATCTATGGAATATACATTTAGTCAACAAAAATCCAAATTTACAAATAAAAGCAAACACATATGTGTATATGTTATAAATACATACATATTATATGGGGGGTTATTAGAATGACATACAGGCTGTAATCCAGTTAGTCCAACAATGACTGTCTACCAATGGAAAGTCCAGAAATACAGTAGTTGTTCAGCCCACTAGGCTGGATGTCCAAGCTGGGCTTGAGTATATGCCAGAATCCTAAAGGAGTAGGCTATAATGCCAATGAAGGAATGGACTTACTAGTGAGGGTAAGGGCAAGCAGGCCAGGAACAAAAGCTTTCTTCTTCCATGTCCTTTATAAGGATGCCACCAGAAGTTGTGGCTCTGATTAAAGGTGAGTCTATCTACTTAAAATGATTTAATTAAGACTAATGCATCAGAAGTTTACCTGGTACTTTGGGTTTTAGTTGATTCTCAATGTAGTGAGGCTGACAACCAAGAATAGCCATCACAAGTCCACCCCTTGTCAACTCTACAAACAATCATATCTCCTATGTCATGCTTAATTTCCAAATGAAACCAATAACCAGGTTATAATTATGCCTCACATGATACAACTTTTCCACCCACAACCACAAACACATTATAAACTTAACCAGGTAATAATTAGGCCTAACATGCTTTAATAATGCCTTATGCAACTGCAAACACATTCTAAATATGAGGAAAGGTAGTAATGACTCTTGAGGGACATTCTTTTAGTATCTCAAAACTTAAAAATACAATAACAATTAATATTTCTTAATTGGTATTATATTGCATATAAAGAAATCAAGAAAGAAAACACAAATATCTACAAAAATATATTCTTTTTTTCTGTTTTTTTATTAAGAGATTTTCTATTCATTTTACATATCAACCACAGATTCCCCTGTCCCTCCTTGCTCATCGCCCAGCCTTCTCCCTAACCCACCCACACCCAATTCCCACCTCCGCCAAGACAAGGCCTCCCATGGGGAGACAGCAGGCCCTCGGACATTCAGTTAAATGGGACTTCTTGAAACTAAGAAAGTTTTGTAGGGAAAAGTACACAGTCAATAAAACAAAACAACAGACTACAGAATGGGAAAAGATTTTCACCAATCCCACATCTGACAGAGGGCTGATCTCCAGAATATATAAAGAACTCACAAAACTAGACATCAAAATACCTAACAGTCCAATTAAAAAATGGGCCATAGAGATAAACAGAGAATTCTCAACAGAAGAATCTCAAATGGCTGAAAGACATTTAAGGAATTGCTCAACATCCTTAATCATCAGGGAAATACAAATCAAAACGACTCTGAGATACCATCTTATACCTGTCAGAATGGCTAAGATCAAAAACACTGAAGACAGCTTATGTTGGAGAGGATGTGGAACAAGGGGAACACTCCTACACTGTTGGTAGGAATGCAAACTTATACAGCCACTTTGGAAATCAGTATGGTGGTTTCTCAGAAAATTGGGAATCAACCTGCCTCAAGACCCAGCTATACCACTCTTGGGCATATACCCAAGAAATGCTCAATCATAGCATAAGGACACATGCTCAACTATATTCATAGCAGTATTATTTGTAATAGCCAGAGCCTGAGAACAACCTAGATGCCCTTCAACTGAAGAATGGATAAATAAAATGTGGTACATATACACAATGGAGAACTACTCAGCAGAGAAAAACAATGACATCATAAGTTTTGCAAGCAAATGGATGGAAGTAGAAAGTATAATCCTGAGTGAGGTAACCCAGACTCAGAAAGACAAACATGGTATGTATTCACTCTAAGTGGATACTAGATATAAAGCAAAGGATAACCAGACTGCAACCCACAGTTCCAGGGAGGCTAGTTAGTAAGGAGGAACCTAGAAAAAACACAGGGATCACCGTGCAACAGAGAAATGGATGAGTCTACATGAGCAAACCTATATTCTCAAAATAACACAGAAACACCAATTATAATCCTTATTTCTTCAACTGGTCATATGGCCAGAGCTGGTATTTATAACTGTCTTCATCTACTACCCTTTCTGTATTTCCTCTAAACCTTGGCTATTTTCCTGGAGGATTGACCCATACTCTCCTTCTTGAAGGTCCTGTGTCCTTTGTCATCAACCTGCCTGGATTAGGTTGTTGCAGTTTCCCCTTGACAGTATTCAAAGGACACGGTAGTGCCAAGAGACACCCTAAAGGATCTTCTGCATTCCACACATAATTTTTCTTACATCTATTATGGAGAAGCAATCCAATTTTCCCTTGGTGATCTGAATCAATCACCTTTCTAATATTGTTATTACCTTCTTAGTCTGTAAGCTTACAGGCATCACAACCCAAAGTGGCCAGGGGATAGCCTGAGCTTCCAGCTCAATGGAATGCTTGTTGTGCATCCTGACAGGAGCACTCCTCTCTCTAGAACCAAAATTTCTAAGCTAGCAGAACTTAAAGTCATGGGAATAGGAAGCAAAATATTTCCTATTGGGATACTAGGGGTGATAGTGAATGGGACTATTCCCTTTCCCCCCCCCCCTCTGATCCCTGTATCCATGGATCCAGGCTATGGGAGAGCCAATACCATATATTTGATGTTGATTCAAAGCATATATCACCTTCTGGAGATTCTTGCCCCAGCCCTCCAGGCTACTGCCACCTAATCTGTGCTATAACTTTGTCTCCAAAAGGTCATCCCATCATTCTATTAGGCAAGATACTTCAGGATGCTGAGGAACCTTTTAAGACCAGTGGATTTCAGGATCATAGACCCACTGTCACACTTCTCTGGCTGTGAAGTAAGTTCCTTGGTCAGAAGCAATACTGTGTGGAATATCATAATGGTGGATAAGGCATTCTGTAGGTTCACAGATGGTGGTTTTGGCAGAAGTATTGCATGCAGGAAAGGCAAATGCATAGCTAGAATAAGTAGCTACTCCAGGAAGACAAAACTCTGTCCTTTCTCTTGACGAAGTTGTTCAGTGTAATCAATCTGCCACCAGCCAATAGCTGCTCATCCTGGGGAATGCTGCCATATGGGACACTGTGTTGTTCTCTGCTGTTGGCAGATCTGGTACTCAGCAGCAGCTGTGTCCAGGTCAGCCTTGGTGAGTGGCAGTCCATGTTGTCAAACTCATGTATAACCTCCATCTCTACCACCACAGCCACTTTGTTCATGTGATCATTGGGTAATGAAAAGGATGGAAGGGAAAAGAGGCGAACTGTTCATAGAATGAATTGTTCTATCTACTTGATTATTGAATCCCTCCCTTCTGAAGTAACTTTTAGAAGGGCATTCATATGGGGTACAAGTATCTTCACATCCTTTACCCATTTGGAGAGATCTATCCACATATTTCTTCCCCAGATGTCTTTCTCACAAAGATTTCAACCATACTCTTTCCAGTCCCTGACATCTAGCCAATCCATTGGCCATGGCGCATGAACCAGTGAACAATCACACATCTGGCTATTTCTCCTTCTAAACAAAATATATGAACATGTGTGCTGCTGGAAGTTCTGCCAACTGAGAACATTACCTTTGCTGGTGCCTTCAGGATTGTCCCACAAACAGGTTGTAATGCAGTAGTGGTCCACTTCTAAATGGTACATGCATAATGTACAGAATCATTGGTAAACCAGGCCCTAGTCTTCTCTTTCTTATTCAACTGATCACAGGGACCACTGCATAAAGCTGTATGAGCCACTTAGGAGCAAGTAGAATGTAATGAAAATAGAAACTGCAAGCATTTGGGAAACATCTTAATGTAACTTGTGCTTTACAACTTGATCAGGCTTGATCACATATGTTCTACTTCCATTTGATAATAGATTGACTTGTGCATATCTTACTTTATGGCTTGATAGGTCACCCAGCTCATGATGGGCAGCTCAGTTTGTATGGTAACTATTTTCAAATGTTCAATTTCCATTAAAGTCCATTTATCATGCCAAGAGGTGTCTCTCAAAGAGAGAATGGTTGTCTGCAGATGATGGTAGAGCCTTGCTCCAAAATCCCAAAGGTGACTTCTGTGATTCTCCTGTAGGGACCTGCCAAAGTCTACAAACAGCATCCCCATCTGCCACTTACACCTTAAGTATCACTGGCTATGCTGCATCATATACTCTATGTGGTACAGCAGCCTTTCAAGCAGCCTGGACCTGTTGAAGAGCCTTTCCTGTTTCAGGCCCCACACAAAGCTAACAGTTCTCTGAGACATTTGGTATATAGGCAAAAGTAACACATTCAAATGAGGAATGAGAATCCAGAGGCCCACTAAACTTTGCACTTTATTCTTGGTGTTTGAAGGGGCCAGGTACAATAACTTATCCTTCACTTTAGAAGGAATATTTATGTGTGTCTCACATCAGTGCACTCCTAAAAACTTCACTGAGGTAGAAGGTATTTGAATTTTGATTGGATTTATTTCCCATCTTCTGATATGCATATGTGTTATCAACATGTCCAAAATTGTTGCTACCTCCTGCTCATTTGGTCCAATCAGCATAATATCATCAAGATAGTGGACCTATGTGATATTTTATGGAAGAGACAGGCGATCAAGATTCCTTCTAATTTATGACACAGGATAGGAGAGTTAATATATCCTTGAGGGAGAACTGTAAATGTATTATGCTGGACTTTACAACTGAAAGCAAAATGCTTCTGGTGGTCCTTATGGACAGGTACCAAGAAAAAGGCATTTTATAGGTAAGTAGATGGATATCATGTACCAGGAGATGTTTTAATCTGTTCTAGTAAGGACATAATATCTGATATATCAGCTGCAATCAAAGTTATTACTGATAGATATTGA